AAACCGGTCACACAATTTAATGGTTTTATCTGCCTACATAATGGAGTAATATAGCCAAAACTTGTGTCTGAACAATCAGTGGCATAGGAGGATTATTTAGAAAATAGCTCCCGAAATTGCCCGATGCCAACCAAATCAGTGTTGAAAATATCAACCAAGGCATTGTTAGTATTAACCAAGAATCACGTTGATTCCTTTTCAAGTTTGAATTTGGTAATATTAACCAATTTTTGGTTGATTTTTTTCTCAGTGTATGTGTTTCAAAACAAAAAAAAACAACAAGGGTCGCAGATTTGGTCCAATTACGAAGTGCCAGTGAGTTGGCCACAGCAGGTGAAGTTGCAAATCGTTTGTCAGGTCACAAAAATGTGGCCACTTTAATAAAAAAAGATGTCCAGTCCCGAAAACTATTATCCTTCAGATTACCATATTTCTGTGACAGAAACGCGCGCTGAAATCAATCTACAAGCAGTATTAGACAAAACGGCTGAACGTCTTATTGAAACGCAAAGTGAAGTTCTAAAACATTTGCCTAATGTTTCGCCATTAACATTAACTAGCAAGTGGGGATGTGACGTAAGCTCTGGTTACAGCTCCTATAAACAAAATCTTGAAAATTCTGCGACTGATGAGTTTCTTTTCGTATTTGCATTTGTGCCACTAAGGTTAAGTGATTGTCATAATATTATTTGGCAAAATCCGAGGCCATCATCCACACTTTATTGCCGGCCTATTAAACTTATTTTTGCAAAAGAAACAAATGAGTTTACTTCAGAAAAAACTAGCAAACCATTGGAAGAAGTATCGCAATTCTTCAAACACCTTGTAGGATTGGCGAACTTCAAATAACTGTGAAACACGATCTTTTGCCCACGATGTTGGACGGAAGAGTATGTAAAGCTTTAACTGGCACGCATTCTACCCAAAAATTTTACATTTGTGGTGCCACTTCCACGATGATGAATAGCGAATTGAAAGAGGTCATAGTTAAATAAAATAATGTAAAAAAAATATTTTTTAAAAACAATCTTTTATTTAACATGTACAATCAAAGGAATAAAATAAAATAATGTAAAAAAAGATTTTTTAGCACGAAAATTGTGTTGAAACTGCACTAAAATGAATAAAATGAAATCAGTTAAGCTTTCGTTAAAGTTACTAAAAGCCAAATGGCGAAAGCAATTACTCAAGCTCTAATGAAAATTACTAACAATTTGTAATGATTTACTTCGCTTTTAAAAAAGTTTGACGCGCGAATAGCGAACCGGCATTTACTTACATATCTTCATACATATGTTTAAATAATTATGCATTCGCCGACAAGCTTTTTTATAACCGAAGTAAATCAATAAAAATTGTTAGTAATTTTCATTAGAGTTTGAGTAATTGCTTTCGCCGTTTGGTTTTTAGTAACTTTAACGAAAGCTTAACTGATTTTATTTTATTCATTTTAGTGCAGTTTTGACACAAATTTCTTGCTAAAAAATTTTCTTTTACATTATTTTATTTTGTTTCTTTGATTGTACATGTTAAATAAAAGCTTGTTTTTAAAAAATATTTTTCCACATTATTTTATTTTGAAATTATTAGTTTTATTTTACATAACCCGGACATAATATTTTTATTATGGGCTGACTCTCCATTTGTGAGCATAGTACATTTAATATAAGCGGCGTAATCGATCGAAAAATTGTACCATGGAAAAAATGGCGGACAGTTGGCAACTGTTGAACTAAGCGTTTCTAGGACAAACAATCAATGTTTAGACAATAGCTATGTAAGTCTTATGAACGCGCCCAATGTGTCACGAATTAGGATCATACTCAGAAACCAATCGGTGTCTTATTTAAATAAAGCATTCAGCACAGGTACAAACCGCACACCCCGTAAGTGCTCTACAGAAATTAGTATAGAAATAACACAGGGTTAACTGCTGGTTCATTGAAACTAATTTCCCAGAGAACGTAAAGTATAGAGAAGGACCGAAAACAGTGAATGCCACATTTTTCGAGCCAACAAAACTGGCGAAGCGCATTTTAAGAGCGACAAATATTTGGAATACTTAACAGCGAAAGCAAAATACAAAGCATAAAAGAAGAATGTTAACAGAGCTAAATCTCACGAGAGCGTTTGGAATGTTAATTAAATATGAAAATTGATGATTTTTGTGATAGTGTTTGATTTTTTGTGAGAATAATTGTTTTAGTAAAAAAATTATTGTTTTAGTAATTAAATTAAAATCTTTTGTGCTAAACTAAGCCGAAACTATTTAAGCAACTTTTTCGATATTCATGGAAATAACTAAGTTTTTTAATCTTTTCGACTTAGAATTTTTTTGAAAAGAATTATTTTCCATTTTTTTTGTAGAGATCTTCCTAAACTAAGTCGAAAGTATGAATGAATTTTTTCCATGTTTCCGATATTTATGGAAATAATTCAGTTTTTAATTATTTTCGACTTGGAAACTTTTTTTAAAAATACTAAAAATCTGAAAACATCGGATTTTCGCAGCAATTAGTAAAGATCTCGCTAATCTAAGCCGAAACTATTTAACAAATTTTTCAACATTTTCAATATTTATTCAGTTTTCAAATATTTTCTAATAAAGTCGTGTAAGTTGCCATTGGATGGGTGGCAGCTCCGCTACTCATGTGCATATTTGTCCCCCACATTGTCATTTACATATCTAATTTATTAATAACTAAACCTAAATTTATAAAGCACATATTTGTAAACTTCATTTCAATACCTATTTCTCCTACCAAATTTTTTATGCATCCAAAAAGACAAACAAATTAAAATGTAAGTATGTATGCATTTATAAATGCACATATGTACATACATATATACGATTGTTCTGCTTTCGTCTTCCCCTCGCCGCTTCCGT